ATCTCCAGACACAGAAACGTGTCTTTGACACACGCCGACTTAATTAAATTTCCATTTCCATCAGATGTACATGCTTCATCTGACTCTGCCTTGTGATGATTTCATTCGTCCTGCCAGATAAGAGCCACTTGAGCTCCAGAATGCATGTCAGCCTCTGTCTGCAGCTGCCATCCTTTCCACGTACTTGGTGACAGAGGGGCCCTGGATGTCATCGGCAGCCTGACATCCCGCGAAAGCTCCTCCCACTGTCAGGCCTCCCTCCCCTTTCGGCCTTTTCTTGAGAAGCCCCAGAGCTCCTGCCCTGTCTCATTATGTGGGCGAGATGTTTGTGGGTCTCTCTGTGTCATTCTGTCGCTCTGTCAGCTAGCATAATGCTTCCCAGTTGGCGCCCAGCTCCCTCCGCCACCCCAGCCCACCGCCCCACACACAGTTCGGTTCTGTTTGTGTGTCTGTCAGCGAGCCTGTCAGAATGGTCTTTTAATCCAAAAAATTCATTTCCTCCACCACTGGATTCTTGTCACATTGCTCCAAAAAAAAAAAGAGAGAGAGAAGGCACAAAGAGTGGCTATTAAAGTCTAGAGGGTGTCCACACTAATGCACGACTCAAATGTCACTCAATTTACAACTGACGGATGTAAATACAATACCTGGATTTGTCCATGTGTGTTTTCAATTTGTTCCCAATGCGGTGGGTAAAATTTAATTTAGTAGGGATATTTACACAACCAGATGACAATGGGGCATTGGGGAGTGCTGGTGAGAGTTGCCTTCCAGCCTGCAGATTAATAAAAGCTTGTGCAAAGATCCAAAGGATGACAAACAGCGAGAACTAACAGCACAAAACAACAGCGAAACAATCAGCTTCTTGAAAAGGCTTAAATGACATTTAATATATTTACTGGCAAACATAAACATAAATTGACACTGGGAGGCTGGGAGGAGTGAATACAATATCTGTGATTGCCATTACTGGCATAAGCAATGACAGCGCGCACTAGATTGGAGTGGTATATTGAATTTCATGTTCTTTGAAATGGAGTCTGAAATGTGAGATTTGTCTTTTACCTCTGAATAGTTTCCACCAAACCGCCGCTCGCCTCTCCCTCCCCCCACCCTCTTCACATACGCCTTATTCGCTCTCATTTGGAGACTGGCACATTCAGTTAACTAATGCAGGGGATACGGCAACGCTACACTATTACCCCATTCTCTCAATCGCCTGTCGAAGGAGTGGAACATCAGATGTGATTTGGGGATGCTTTCTTCTTGCTTCTGTTTCACATCAGAAACGTACCTGCTGGGAAGATTTTCCCACTATAAATTTCTCCTATCTGCAGCTGAAACGCTATTCATCTCATTACGGTTGATTGGGATCCTCATTGCATTAGAGGGTGCACGCACCAGCATGTGTGTGCATGTGTGTTTTCATGCATGTAAATAAAGACAGGAGATAATGAGCAGAGAGAAAGGGAACGGGAGAGAGAGGGAGGGAGGAGTGTGTTAATGAGTGTGAGATGTGCTGAGGTCGCTGTGTTTGTTCTGTAATAGTGCGTTGCCGCAGAGCACTGCCACCTGAGGTGGGTGATTAGAAGTAATTATATAATTACACAAAATGTGATAATAAACAGCACAGAGGGAATCGGCTCCATCTACTTTGCTACATCTCATATGTATGTATTCAAAGACTCAGTTTCTTATGTGCAAACAAATACATAAACTAAACCACTAATTTCTACAACAACAAAAAAAAGAGACAGACACACACTGTAGCTTTTTTCATCATTGTTTAACAGTAAATCACACAAAACTTTTCCTGTCAAGTTACAATTCTCCAGAACGACAAAGAAGATATTTTTAAAAATGTTTTCTTGTTGCTCTCTTCAAATTTTGAGATTCACATTCATAACCATTATTTCGTCTCTGAATAAAGTGGGAAAGCCCAGATGATAACGTCATGGCTTTGAGAGCTTCTTGTGATTAAATCTGAATTAGTCTTGGGTATATCTGTGGATACATGTCAAGGCAACAGATCACAGAGCCTTGGTATTCTGTTCCTACTTGATTAGTTGGTTGTTCTTATGAAATAAATACATGTAGTGAAATGGTGACATCATAGAACATTTAAGCACTTGATCTTGACACCGTGAATTTTACCCCATTGATCTCCACTATGAAGTTTACACAATGAGAGCAGATCAAAAGCATCCCACATACCTTAAGATATCGCACACTGTTGCAAAAAACAAACAAACAAAAAAAAACAGTTTAGAGGAAATACCACCAAATAGGAAGAAAATTTAATACTTCAGAATAATAATATATTTCCTATATTGAAGAAATATAACTTAAATAAGAGCCCACTGCACTGAAAACCTCCTGGTTTTTCCACAAAATATTGATTTCTGAACTCTTCCAGAGTCAAAACATTAGTGTTGTTGTTTCTAAATGAATATCAACTTGTTTTCTTTGCATTATTTGCGGTCTGAAAGTGCTGCATCTTTTTCATTATTCTGACCATTTCTCATTTTCTGCAAATAAATACTAATTTGCTTGGAATTTTGGCGACATGTTGTCAATAGTTCATAGAATAAAAGAATAATGTTCATTTTTTCAAACATACACTTATAAAAAGCAAAAACAGAGAAGCTCTTCATTTTGTCCCAGAGCTGTATGTATAATATGCACCTTACAGTCTTAGCTACCCAAAAATGAAAAAAGATTTATTCTGATTTAATGCCAGAAAGTGAGAGAAAGGTGGTTTGCCTTTTTATATAGTGTATGTAAATATCCAATTTCAACTTCACACGCAAACTCATGCACATTTCTGCACCAACAGAGAGGGACGGACAAACCCATTCACACCCAGATAATTCCAACCTGATACAAAAAGTAATGGAACACTCACACTTGTCCTCCACTCACACCTGTGAGTAAAAACCGATTTGCTCCGTGACACACAGTAACGGCCAATAAAACAAGTGCTGACTCGCTCCCAAAGGCAGCCGAGGGGAGCGGGGGGACAAATGAACACAAACTGGGAGTAAAAAGCTGCTCTCAGGAGGATTTTGCCTTTTCTGTAGTCCTCATGCTCCTTCCTGCTTGAGTGAGAAACACTATCTGAAAGGGCCTGCAATTGTCCGTCTCATCTCCAGACTCGCTGAAAGAAGAAACAAGTGTGAGGCGGGGAGGGAGCGGGGCTGGTGGGCTGATGCATCCCTCGGCTCTATTTGAGAGCAAGTGAAATGGCTATTTTATTGTTAACTCCACTTAGAGTAAACGCAGAATGTAGCTGGGTGTCCATGAATCCAAGTGTGAATGGCTCTGACCTTCAGCTGGAATATGTGGTTTTACATTCAGTCTGTATGTTCCGGTCAAAAAGGAGCACGAAAGTGCACACAACACCAATGATAGGAGTGACTCAAAGCGCTCGGAGTCAATGGGACCGGTAGAGGGAGGAAATACGTCAGCGCGTGAGGGAAAAGTAGTGAGAAAACAGTATGGCAAGGAAGCAGAATAATTACTACTAATAAAGCTTAATGGAATTCAGGTCTCACGTCAGGTGCAAGATGATATGATTACCGCAGGGCGGCAGAGAGAAATTGGGAACTGATCCGTTAATCCCACCGTCCTTTTGTCTGTAATTCGGTGAAAATATGTCTATCTATATGTGTCTGTCTGTACAAGATGAAGAAGTATGCAGAGTTAAATTTCGCACAGCAAGCACATGAGTTTAAAGTGTTTAACATTCATAGCTGCAGAGCATAGAGAGCCCTAAAATTCGACAGTGTATCCGCAAATTGCATTAGATTTTATATTGGATTTTACTTTATTATTGGTGAGTGTTAGGGTGCATGTCTCATGGTGTGCTCTTTGAGAGTCGCTCACTGTGACCTGAGTGTCCCTGATAACGGAGCATTCGACTACAAGTCAGTGGTTTCTCATGGTTTGTCTCATTGTGCGCGCGTGCCGGTTCAAACGCTGTGATATGTTTGTTCACATGCACAATGGCTGAACTTTTCAACCGTCTCTCCATCTCCAGGCCTCCTGCTGATGCCCACTGACCTTAGTGGAGAGTCTCAGCCTGCCAGCACAGACAACCAGCCTGATGGTTGAAAAGATGGTTCACACTTGGACATGATGGGCTGTTGTGTAAACATGTTTGTGCAAAATTGACAAAAACTGAAAATTGTTTTCAGGAAATTTGTCTGCTTAGGATTTATGATACTAATAAAGCACTCTTTCATAAATTAGATTACAGTCATTCAGGGCATGGATTCCACAGTAATGTGTTCAACATTAATACTTTTTAATTACGCATTTGATTATACAAGAATAAACTGCATTATGTGACCACTTTTCTCAGCATATTTAGCAGATTTCACCTAAACTGGTCGGTTTCTGGTGAGAACTTGGCTTCAGAGAACAGTATAGAAATATTCAATGTGGTTAAAGTTTGGGGATGTTCTAGATCAGTGGTTCTTAACCTGGGTTCGATCGAACCCCAGGGGTTCGATGAGTCGGTCTCAGGGTTCGGCGGAGCCTCTGCCGCGAAGGTAAAGACACACTTGTGTAAAGTCGTGATGAAGCGTCGCTTTGCCATCACTTGCTGCAGAGAATCACGCTACATTGCTTAGCCAATCAGAGCTGCGGAGGAGCACTGATTGAAGGAGCTTCACTCTCAGCATGGATTTGAACTTGTGTGTTTAATTACTTCAGCAAAGCTCACAGTTTTTACCAAATTATATACTTCTAAATATGCTCCTTAGTCGCATCTTTTCGGGGTTGGTACTGCCTCTAGTGGCGTGGCGGTGGTAATACAACTAATATAATTATATTATATTAGTTGTATATATACAACTAATATATACAATATATAACTAATATAATTACATTATATTAGTTGTATTACCACTAATATAATGGTGGTAATACACCATTATATTAGTGTATTACTAATATAATACACTAATTATATTAGTAATTGGGGGGGATATCATAACCCACTACAGAAGGGTTCGGTGAATGCACATATGAAACTGGGGGGTTCAGTACCTCAAAAAAGGTTAAGAACCACTGTTCTAGATTATTAATGCCACTGGAATTTTTTCATTGCAAGACTGATTTTGAGGTGTGTGTGTGGGACCACCTACTCATGTCCAGTTTCTTAACCATTATTCTGAAATTAAGGGAAATGGGAACGAGTAAGGTATCTGTTTATAATTAAACAAAATACTATCTGTTCAGGTTTTTAACCATTAGAGATCCCTGTACCAACCTGTACCAGGCATGGTAGTGGTACCTTCATGCTGAGGGTCTATTTTCGAACATGTGAATCAGGCAGATTCAGTTATATCTCCTTTTATCCTACTTCTGGAGTGCTCCAAACTTCAACCATGTGTGACAAAATGAAGCCAAAGTCAAATTATTTGAATGTGTTCACAAACGTAGCAAATAAAGCTGATTCTGATTCGATATATGTAAGCATTTGGCCCTACAGAACTTGTTTAAACTCTGTACAGATTTGAGAGAATTCCCAGTAAATTAAAACTTCTGATGTCATATCGTACATTAGGGATGTCAAACTCATTTTCATTTTAGGCCATATCAAGATCATGAATATTCTCAACGGATTAATGTATCGATAAAGTCCATTAGCAAACTGTTCAAATATTAATGAGCACTTCTTAAAATAATATAGATTATCTTTTCACATTGATCAGTTCCTCCAGTATTTCACAGTTGTGTTTTTGCCACCGGGGGGGCCAGGCCGGCGGTGGCGCAGGGGCAAAGTGTGACCCTTAGTCCTCAACGTGTCACGAGTTCGAGTCCCGGCCCGATGACCTTTGTAGCATGTACTCCCTCTCTCTGTTAAATAAAGGACTCTAGAGCCAACAAAACCTTTAAGAAAAAAGAAAAGAAATTCTGACACCTTCCGGTGGGAGTTTGTCACTCAAATGAGAACTTCAGAAAAATATAAGGCTGAATTTGTCTTACATAATCAGTCCAACCCAAAAAGAATGTCATACATTTATAATTAAGAGCCAAAGTTTATATTGTATGTCAAGCTTCTGGCAAGGCTGTTTGAGGACAAGCATCATCTCCCTAAACACCCAAAACAATCGATTGCATTGTTTCCCCTTCTTATTACACTCATACTTATTCTTCAGTTCTTAAATCTACCTCAACTTTCATGATGTTTCCAGCTTTCTTCTGGCTTCAACATGGCTGCAGCCGAGAAATTGTTAAAGCATGGTGAGCAAAGAAAGAAGCGGGCGTCATTAGCCCGGGTGGAGATGCCTTTTCTCAGCCTTCCTCTATCTCCCCTCAGCACCTGCTCCCTCTCCAGATGAGATCAGGAAGGTGGGGCAGTGGAGGGCAAAAGAAGGGTGCAGCACAGGCACGCTCGAAGCAGGAAGAGAGGCAGATGAGGGTGCAGAGAGGAGATGGGAAGGAAGAGGGCTGTGCATGGAAGATATCAGCCCAACCCTTAAACCAGGCTCGAGGCGCCCGTTATCGTGGCTTGATTTCTTGCTACGCTGCTCCACATGCTCGGCTCATTGTAATGGCTCTTGGGTGTGAACATGGACGTGGCAGCTGCAAGTCAAAAGGATTAGCCACTTAAAGAGGAAAAGATGTTTATTTTCAGAGAAGCAGGCTTTTAGCACATTTATCAAAAATAAGCTTCCAAGGCAACAGGGAAATTATATTCCCTGCGGGAAAAATCTGCTTTCTATATTTAAAAAAAAAAAGAAAAAGGTACCCACGGTGTAAACAAATGGGAATAAACATTGTTAAAGTACAGGTAAAGTCACAACCTCCCCAATGGGAAAAGCTATGATCAGTAAATCACATTTTGAACACGCCTAACAACCGAAAACTACAACATTCTTTTTTTCTTAGCATATGGTCGGCTTTCAGCACTTACAGAAACGAGACCATTTTTCATCACAGCTAGAAGATGAAAGACCCATATGAATCATTATGTTTACATAATAGCATATTGACCTTGTGTTGTAGGAGATAAAATACACTTCATTCCAGAGAGCAATATGAGAAGGCTGTTTTCTCTTTATTTTACTCTGCACAAAAGATTATGTTGCCCTGTTGCCCTATATTATATACAGGGTAATGACATAATTTAGCACAACCGCAGCAATGCTTACTCAAAGTTGCTGAAATGTAACACAGTCACCACATTATCTGAGATGTGCTAAAGTGTAGCTATATTAATCCTCAGAAATCTGACTTTTTGGAGTCGTTTTGCACTCAAAGACGTTAGGAAATATCCGGAGATGTGGAAAACATGCTATACTTATGAAGTGAGTGTCAAAGAATTTCTTAATGACTGATCTGAATCTATTAGTTCAGAATGCTGTTAAAATAATCTCTAATACATGCAGGAGTAGCTATTCCTTCAAGTAGGTGTTAGGGACTTTAAATGAACTCTTACATTTTCTGCTTAGAATATTAAAGGGTACATCTACCAGGTGTAAGCATCTCCAGTCAGAAGATGTTGTTACCTCTTCTATTATTTGAAAAAAAATAATGGATCGTGATGACATGGTGACACCATGAAGGGGGACTAAGAAACAGAACCTAGAAAAAGCCAAAAGGCCTGAACGACTTGTTTTGTAATTGGTTATGTTGTATTTTCACTGTTTTTTTTTTGTTTTGTTTGCTTGCTGGTCAAATGTGACCTTTCCGCCAAAACGACAGCGATGAGTTGACATATTCCATAACAGCAGCACCATGGGAGGTGTTGGAAATGAAAACCAATCTGATTATCGGAGAGTTGACAAAATATTTTGGACCAAATTAAGCAAACTCTTACATCGGGTTTGTTCCTCATCCTTCTGTCTCCGAAACCTTTCCCTGAATACTCAGTCAGATAAAAGAAACAATACCTTCCTTTTTTTATTTCAGATAGAGATACTGACAGAATTTTTGATGAATTTATGTCTTTTATTAGCTTTTAATACAAATTAATATTCCTTTGTTTACTTATTGATTAGTGTGTTTATTAAATTTTTCCCCATTCTGTTCACAAGCAGGAATATAGTCATTCTATCTCAGTTGTCAGACTTGTGATTAAAAACAAAACAAAACAATAAAAACAAGTCCTATGATGCACAAATTTCATTTATTCATGTGCAACAGGGAGGCACCCAGATTAAGCACTATTTACTCTTCAAGTTAATTTACGATAAATACGATGTTAATCAATTTTAATAATGAGACGGATACGATTTTCACATAAATCTAATTGAACACAGCCATTATTAATTGCTACATTAACAGTAGCCTGTTTTTCCAGCAACACCTTCGGTCCTCGGTTGTGATTGTTGCTGCTGTGTGGGGCCTTTATATAGTGGCGCAAAGTTTGTAAAAAGGTTTTTACTGCCGGCCAATCTCAGAGCTTGTTGTGTTTTTACAGAGCATCATCTCTACTTTTAGTGTGGGGGTGGGATAACATACTGGATGTTTATTAGACCTCGAGTCAATGCCCAGGCAGGAGTGCAGCTATAAAACTGCCCGCCATCGCTGGCCGGTGGAGGCTGTCAACTGGGTCGCGAGTCTGCTCAGGCCAGATGCCACTGAGCTGCTAGGAGCACTCCTGCCCCCTAATGCCCATTACCGCCAAGTTGTCCTGGAAAGGTCTAGGAGTCACGCACACACATGGGTTGTCTGCTTTGTTTATTGTGAAATGCACCCGCAACCGGTATGCAATGAAAATTCTAAATACTTCCAGTTTACTACATAAACATCTGTGCAGTCTCCCCAAGTATTTCTGCTTTTTGTTTTTTATTTCCTACACAACAAAAATCAGCAGCACCCCCATTTAGACAGCTGCCATGCGTGGCAGAGCAGGTAGTGCACGCTGAACTCTGCTGGCCCCTTCCTGGATTTATTTTAGAGTCCTTTGTTCTTTAAAGGGAAAACCGATCACTGACCAGAAGCACTTCAGAGACCCCTGTGGCGGCATGAGTGAGAAGCCTCACTGAAATGCTCAAAATCATGCACACACATCACGTCAAAGACCTGGGGAGAGTGGTGAAATGCTCGGTGCTTAGGACCTGATGGACGCAGCCGGTCCCTTCCTCATCGATCTTTTCCTCAGACCATTTAGCACCTCTGCTACTCTGGGCTCCATGGCCACAGCTGTGTCTGTGTGGCCTCACCCCGCTGTGAATAACAGGAGGATCATGAAAGACAAAATATCAGTCTGCATTTGGGCTGCGTCTGATACACTTTTAGGGAATTGTGGCTGTGTTATGGAGCTGAGGGGAACCGGCACCATCTTTATTGCTCTTTAATCAGAGGACTGCAGGCTGGGTAAAGATCAATGATCTTTGAGTGTTAACATTGACTTGGGCCTACAACTCCCAATCAAGGGCCCCTCTCCCACCTAATGTTACATTTAATGAGCCAATTAGTCCACAATGGCGTGGCCGGCATCTTAAACTGTTGTTTACTCTGCATTCATTATTAATATCTCTTAGTTAGGTATGAATAAAATTAAAAGGAGCAGGGAGACCATTAGCTCCCCATGGTGGATGCTTATTAAGATAGGATGCTTTGTTATCTGAGCTAGGGGTGGGGTGGTAATTGTTTGCGGTGGGTAGGATATGCTGGTTCAGTAGCAAGAGCACTGTGATTTATGCAACCTTGGAGATGTTGTTGCGTGCATGTATGAGACGAAGTGGTGTGGTTCGCTCTAATGCCTCTGAGAGAAGAAGAGCCTGCTTTCAATGGCTTCAGATGCTGCTTTAGTTCCCTCATAAACACTTTCTGTTCTTGCCCTCTTCTGCCTTCCCTTCTACTCCTTCCTCAACCCCCACTCCTAGTTTAATAGACATCTCTGGGAGGGGATATGCAAATTTGTTTTATGTCCCCTCTCTGTCATTGTCTCTCTGTTGTTTATTGTTTCATTTCCCACATTTTGAATATATGTAGAAGAGTCGACAGCCTCGCAAAAGTATTCCAACCCCTAGAACTTCACCCCCCTCCCTTTTTGTTTTAAAAACCATTTTGCTGTGTTTCAAAGACAAACTTCAAAGTGCAGCACATTGTGGTTCAAAGCAGTGC